TGGGGGTTGCAATCTACCCATAAAATCTCTGTCAACGCTTTTGTTAGTGGTAAACCGTTTTTGGTCGTAGAAGATGTGAATTGATAAACACTTGAATTCACCTTCGGTTTTCATGTCACAAGGAGCCAAAGCGGTCCTCTAGGGTACAATCGAATGAAACCAGTATTTGCCGCTGACCACTTGTCCTCTTTCGCTCATTTTGATTTCCTGGCAGGTCTCCGCAGGCAGCTCAGGAATGGAGCCGAGAGGGACTGGAAGAAAAAGCATGGCACTCCAAGTAAGCACGACTTGATGTTCCTCTTGGGGGCGAGGACGCTCATATTGAGGGCGACTTGACTTAGGGCAAGAAGTTAGGTGATGTGAGACAATTCCTTAATTTTGGGTTGAGTTTTTGTGCTCTGAAAATGTCTTTAAAGCAAATAAGACGTTTCAAAGTGTAAAAACCTCTTTTGTAATCTCGCTTAAAGTAAAATCTCTCAGGGTTCGGAACATAATCCTCTGGTTTGGCCTCCTGGGTTCGGTTGTTCAGCTCACAAATGTCTCGTCTTCATCTGAAGTCAGCATAGCATCCCCGCAAGCTCACATCTGAAAGACCAGCCCCTGTGATTCTCTTCATGATGTGGCGTTGTAGCATCATACCAAATTTGGAAACTTCCGGCTGGCCGGTAGCCTCCAATTGCTATGCAGCTGTACAGCATAACAGCACGCTTTTGATCAACAACCCTACTGCGTACAAGACCTTTAAGGCCGTTTTCTCTCGATGTATGTTTTGGAAAAAAACGTTCACTGAAAAGAAAAAGGCAAAAAATATTCTCGGCTAAAACTTACCCTAACCTTCTTTTTAGTCTGTAGACTGGTTTTTCGTGAGTTCACGATCAACATGCATGCTTCTATCTTTGTTATTTGACTTTATTTTCATTTGTTTATTTTTTAAGAATTGCAAGCACAGAAAAGTTAGATGTATTTGCCAAAACGGACCTTAAATTTGAGGAAAAGGGGTGTTTGTTCAATGCTAAAACCTATTTTGTCATTCGATATTTGTTATTTTTTACCATAAGCTTGATTTGTGCGATCCATCCGGCAAAAATTCGTTCCACTGATTTCTGATACTCACTCAATTATAACGGCCGCAGTTACTAAACTTTTCAAGTTGCAAAGTGGGGACATCGAGATATTGCCTTTTGAACACATTCATTAAGAACTTTCAAGTTATCGGTGCAGGCAAAGACTGAAATAGAAAGTTGAGTACCGAGTGAGAAAACAAATGTAAACAGCGTAATGTAGACAGTTGAATGGAATGTGAAAATCCTGGTGTCCTTGGGTGGAAATGGTATTTTGACATAATTTCTGGGTTTCATCGAGACACCGACAGTTTTTAATTTCCTTTTTTTTTCTTTACATAGCCCTATCCGTAAACGAAATACCCTACAACTAAGCACAAATAAAATTATTTCCCTCTGTTTTCTCCGAAAATGTTTCTTTGCTGGCGATTCTTGTCTGTATGTTAGTGCAGCTCTTGCATTTGAGAACAATGCAAGTGCTATCCGACCTTATTAACAGGTGGAAAGGAACTTATTCACATTGGTTACTATTATCCTGTCATCGTACCTGCCTGATGAGGAATTCCCCAAGAGAATATTGGCTACTAAAATTAACCACATTTTGAAATTTTCAATCAGTCAAAAAACCTTACGTTAACATTTCTGCAACCTTTCATGACTATAGAAGAAGTTCTGAGTGATTCGTATCACACCTTCCAATAGAGAAACAGGTTAAAAGTGACTTTGGAAATACTCACATTTGCTTTGTTTAATAGCGCTTTCCTTATGCTTTCCATGACGCGTAATGTATCTCTAACCTGAAAACAAAAATGTATTCCAAACCTTCCTTGCGAACCACACACGTCAAGACTGATGGAAAATTTAATTTTTTGAACTTCCGGTATTTTTGTTTTGTTTGGTTTTGTTTTTGTCGTGTTACTGACGTCTTCAATGTGCGTAAGTTATTAGGAAGTAGGTTAAAAAGAAATTTTTTTCCAATTTTTATATTCCCAGACATGTAACACAATGTTCATTGCTGGAAAAAGTTCTGAAGTAGAATTGGAGAACTGATATTTTCCTGTTCACAGTCAGTCCGACTTTTACAGCAGTTCAAGCAGTTCAAGTTGTCTTACTGACATTTGGGGCAAGCCATGTTGTTGTATAAAATTTCTCCTTGGTTCAGATGATTGATTTCTGGTCCAGAAATTCTGCAGTTTGAAACCTTAATAAACCCTTTACACTCTAACATCAGTATGTATATTCTCCATATTGTTCTCTATACGTTTCCTAAGGAGCTGACAAGGAGAATTTGGTTAGCAATGTAGAGCTTCTTTAGTTGGTGATCATTTTATTCATTCTCGTGACCTTAATGTTAGATTCAGGGGTGATATTGTGAGGAGAAATTAGATGCTAGTCACTCTTAGAAGTCAAAGGGTTGAGATGTTTTCTTTGTCCCTCTTCTGACAAGTGCTGAACAGCAAGGATCGAGATGCACCAATCAGAGCTGTTGAATAACAACTAATCACAGCAGAACATCATGCTTTATAAGATCAGGCATGACCAGTCGACCTCATCGCCTGAAGAAGACTAGCAGTATGCAGCCGAAACGTCGCGATCTACATCACACGTGACTACATCGTGAGACAAAAAAAACTTAGCTTTTATTGTTATTCACCACGATGAATAACCACAACCTTTTCTACGATTACTTGTTTATCACATAAAGGGAAAAATTCTGTACAAAAGAAAACTTTCAAGGTCTTGCCGTCGCGGTAGCAGGTTTGCAAGTTGTTATTAAAGAATAAGATAACAGTAGAACAGGAGAAACCTGTGGCCTAATTAATCTTAGAGGAGGGATTCTTACATTTTTGGCTGACACACTAGAAAGAAATAAGGCTGATGGTCTTAAAGAAGGTGTAAGTGGGGCAAAGAGAAAATACCGCCACTGCATGGCCACTTTTGAAGATATGCAATGTTATTTTACTGAAGAAGATTTTCATCAACGTAACATCGATGAGCACAAACAACATTTGCTAAAACTGGAAGGTGCTGCTTCTAAATGTCTGGGAGATTTTTATTCTAAACATTATGGAATTAATAGTAGAACTGTGCTGCTTGAATCACCATACTTTGATCCTTGTGAACAACTTGTTCAAGATATCATGCATGTCTTTCTTGAAGGGATTTTATGTGAGATAAGGCTTCTCCTAAACTACTGTATAAATGAAATTAAAGTATTTAAGTTGATAGATTTGAATTCCAGAATACAAGGATTTCCATATGGGTTCTCCAATAGCAAAATTAAGCCAGCAGTTATTTTGGATAAGGGTTTACAACAAGGGCCTTCTACAAATACGGGACAAAGTGCCACTCATATGTGGCTTCTTTGTAGTGTGTTGCCTTTTATTCTCGCTGAATTTGTAGACATTGACACTGACAGATAGAAATGTTTTATTTCCATCATTGAAATTGTCTCTTTGTTTTGCCCATAAGATCTCCATAGCTGCTACTGTATACTTGAAAAAAGCTATCAAAGACCACTTGACCCTCTTCAAGACTGTGCATAAAGACATAAACATTACACCAAAACAACTCTATCTTGTTCAATTGCCTTCTCTAACTTTGAAATTTGGTCCTTTAATCCGTTCATGGTGTTTGCGCTTTGAGGCTAAGCATGTTTATTTCAAGGATCAAGCAAGGATTATAAAGAACTTTAAACAACTACCATTATCATTGTCAAGGGGGTATCGGTCTTCTGTCCAAGCTGATTATGTTAGGCTTAACAAAGAAGATAAAGGTCCCCTCTTTAGGGAAGATATTAAATTTGGAGTGAGTAAGGAACTATTTGGTGATGACCGAGAGACTGCATGATCAAACATAGAACGGTTTTATGAATTGGGGAGTCATGATGGTATCACAGTTTATTCCTTAGATTCGGTACTTAATACAAGCCTGATAGGGATGCTTTTCTGAATTTTGGGAGGCGGAGTGGCTTGTCAGAGTTTGGTAAGGTTGTAAAAATTTGGTTTATTGTCAATCATAGCATTTACTTTGCCCTCCACGTAGTTACGACTTTAAATTTTAATGAGGATCTGAATGCCTTCGAGATCAAGGAAACAGATCTTCGGTCGCCTTTTCCCAGAATTCTGATTAATCACGAATCATAAAC